TTATCCCTTTCATGCCCCACACGACTGTGCACCGGAAAATGTCAACTTGCAAGATGTGTTCGGTACGTGCGCAACACTTTTATCAGCTACAGGCGTAATCTAACAAATACTTTATTGCATCGCAAACAAAATGTGGAATCACATAAGAGAGAAAGCATGACTCATGAGTTTGTGGCCCTAAAGAGGGCCGTTTGGATAGGCGGAAAGTGAGGTAGCTGCTAGGCTACACGTCACTTCGCGCTGGTATATTTGGTGACAGCTTTTGTGCCTTCCGACACAGCGTGTTTCGCCAACTCGCCGGGAAGAATCAGACGCACAGCAGTTTGAATTTCACGCGACGAAATTGTTGAGCGCTTGTTGTAATGCGCTAGACGACTCGCTTCAGCAGCCAGCCGTTCGAAAACGTCGTTCACAAAAGAATTCATTATTGACATGGCCTTTGACGAAATGCCTGTGTCCGGATGAACCTGCTTCAACACGCGATAGATGTACACCGAGTAAGACTCCTTTTTTCGCGCACGTCGCTTCTTGTCACCACTGCGAGCCTTGTGCGACTTCGCAGCCTTTTTTGCTCCCTTTGCTGAGGGCTTCGGCGGCATCGTCGTCAACGTAGAACACACAACACACAATCACAACGGGTCACTGCACAGCTCCAGATATTTATAGTCAACGAGGAGCGCATTCGCCAGTCAAGCCAAGCCCACTGTTTCCCGCCAATTTTATCGACAATGTCGATGAGCTGCGTAGGGCAAGACCACACATGAGGCCTCTTCTTTTGCGCAATCGACTGTTGGAAGGAAATGGCGGGAAGGGCAAATGGTGTGTGCTGTGGTCTGCTCCGGCACAATGGGCACGATGGCCTGCTGCTTGGTGCGTCTTCCGTTGTGGACGGGACGCGATGCTGCAGTCCTGAATGAGGGCAATAAGGGAAAAAGAAGAGGGACTGTGTTATTTTGAAAAGGCGCAATTATTCATGAAAGGCTGTTAAAGGGGTTCAGCTTGTCCTCTGGCACTGTCCTACTTATTACGGCGAGTAAATGGCGATAAAAAAAAGTGCAAAACACATCAGCGTGAAAGGCAAGCATTGAGTAACGCACTTATAGTGTTATTTAGCAAGAACACGAAAACAGAGAACTACGCTACTCCCTTGAACCGCTTCAGCATACACTTGAATCTGTAGTCGATGAGCACAAACCCGGTGCTGGAATACTAGAAGCCAAGCACACAGATTACAGTTATTCATACATGGGCTGAATATGCGAGGAAGCAGTTTGTGTTTCATCCTTTAGCTTTAAATATATAACGAGTTTTGCGTGCTGCTAGGAATGAGCGAATTTGCAAGCCGCCTTAAAGATGAAAACATTCAAAACCGGACCGAGACATTTCTTATGATCATAATAATTTTGTTAAAATATTTTGCAACAGTTACTAATTTCTTAATATTATTTGCTTTTGCGTTCTTCCAACTTTAAAATATTTTTCTATTA